TCATTATTAGAATTCGAGAAATCAAAGCTAATAAATGCATGCTCAGTAAGGCTATCTTCAGCAAGGATTCTTTGATTACTGATTTTTGTGTATGTTCTATTACAACCAATTGCGACATTTATCCAGCTTTCACCTCTATGTGAGGTGAAACTTGGTGGAGACAGTGGATTTTTAATTATTATGAGATTATTACGCATGGAGAACTCTTCCAGCAAGCCACCTCGCCTATCGAAAGTATCGCCACCCTAAGCTGACGAGTAAGCATTCGTGTCTCAGGCAATCAAAATGTGTAAACCATGAAAAGCGTAAATAATCTTTTGTAGATTGTAAATGAATTCCTCGGAATCAGCATCTCCAGGAAAATAGATGTTAATTACAATAAGTCATATGAGATTTAAATTAACTTTAATGGTGATTACAAATTGGCCACTATAAGCGGAGAGAAATATAAGTATTTGGGGCTAAAGTTATTGCCCACGGAAAGAGAGTAGTCCCACGAAGAACCGGACAGAAAGTTGGAAGACAGGCAGAATTATCCCTGTGGCAATATAGTTATTGTACCAATACTATATCATATTTATGAATAACCTTACTTAAAAGGGAGGTAGAAGCAATGCTCCTACCAACATCAATCTGCAAGAAACGTATTTTATGATAATTACTCGGTTTCATATTTTGTTCTGGAGACAATATACTTCTTATTACGTTGTTTTATAGGACAAGAACTATCCCGTGCGTTGTGTTGGTTGTTATACGTATTGTCATGCAGACAGTGGTAACAGATAGGTTCATACTTTCGCTTTGAACATTCATTGTAGGAATGTTTTTTCGCGCAATGGCTACATACTTTTGTGAAATGCGGACAGTCGCGAGCAAAATGATTATATTCGCAACACTTAAAACACTGCAGAATCGGTCAAAAGTCTACGACTCTGCAGCGTGACTATTCCACATTAGCTTTTGCTATTGCCAAGAGAAGTTTTTGGACATTAGGTGAAACTTCCACTACCCAGTTCTTATAGGTAAAATTCTTTTTCCCCATTGTAAATTTAGTATGGAATTGTTTCATGAATTCCTCCTCTGTCAAATTTTCATAAATTATATGATTTTGTTGATATATCAACATGGAGAGTTTTTCCTTCGTAATATCGGAGTGAACAAAATAAATCGCAATATGCGGCCATCTCTTCTTAGGACGGCAGGTTACCAGCTCAGGTATCTGCTCCTCTACTGTTTTCTCTAAAACTACTGCATCCCGATTAGTACATAATTCGATGACTAAGCCTCCTCCTCTATTTTTCCTCATTTTATCTATACCAGTATGTATATTTGATAGTGTTGTCTTGACGTTCATTAATTTTTTAACAACATCGCCATTGTTGTCCTTTTCTCTACTATAAACAAGTAGTACTTTTCTTGAGGAATTGATCTTGTGAGGAGTGTTGTTACCTCCTATGTTTCTGCCTGTCTTTACCATTGTACTATATAGCAAAAAAGAAGAGTTATATTTTGATGTTTTGTCTTCGATTTTATTCAATCTCTGGAAGACAGCTTTTTGTGTATCAATAAAATCTACGGGGGACGAAGTTGTTTTGTTCTGTCTTGAATCTCATTTAATTTATTCAGTGTTATTTTTTGGGCTTTAGAGAATTCTTCAACAGTGATATAAATTGTTATATTATTTTCAATTTTATTCAATTTTTCCAGGAGAGTTTTCTGGGTTGCTAATATTCCTTCGAGATTGGAATTTTGTACTATAGCATCATTACTAGCCACAGAGGTAGGCCTGTTGTCTAGTATTTCAGGCAATTCAACTGTGTGTATAGCAGCTTCAGCTTGATTAATTACTGCTATAAATTGATCAGTAATATATTGTAAATAGACACCCGAGCCAAGTTTCCTATTTCGGTTGTCTACAAGGTAAGTTTACTAGTGTACCACTAGAGAATGTTGGATTGAGCTAACGTTAGGAAATAATCATATTACCCCTAGCCCTGATTTAATGAATTGGGGTTTTTGACATACCAAACATTTTAGAAGTTGCACTATTCATAGATTTTGCAACAAATATTTGTTTTCTCTTCAGTAGCTCCATGAGTTTATGTATAGAGCATGCTCAGAAATAACTAGGTGTTGCAGAAACTCCAGTAAGAGAAAGACAACAATTATCAGTGGGGTGTCCAAATCCTCCACAGTATTAATTACATTTTTACAGAATTTTAAAAATATTTATTCAGTTTTTTTATTTTTAAAATAACTACAATATGACCACATTTATTATTTATAACACAGTCGACCCCTCTATAACGCGGTAGATACATTCCACTTTATAAGAATTTCACGTTGTAGGAATTCTTAAATACATGAGCCAATCACAGCCTGGCGCGTGTGCAGTTTACAGACTACGGCTGTTTGAAAGGTTTTTGTCCATAAAATTAATCGATTCTAGACTAATTTGATTCAACATTTCCAAAACACGTATAATTTTTTGGGAATAATCCGTATAAACTGTGCTATAAAAAAATTGTAGGATTACTTACCGAGTGTGCACCGTTCGACGACGCCTTTGCTTAAGCTTGTTTTCATTGGAGAGCAGNAAATTCTACAATTTATATAAATTATAATTTAAATTAAGGTAGGTATTATTATTATTATTATTAAAATAAAAGTTACTTACCAAGATCAGATATGATTTTCCTTTAGCAAAAGTTTTCTTTAGATAAATCAAAGAGTTTTTCTCTGGTAGAAAAGTCGATGAGTAAAGTTTAAGAAAAATTTACCCCGCTTTTATTCTTAGCTACTGACCTACAAACCTTGTTAGACGCGGCGGTTGAAACTAAAATTAGAGCACATCCATATTCAAAGTAATGATTATTGACAGATTAGGTTATTAGGTAACAAATATTAACTAGGTTAGGTTATAAGGAAAAGTTTTTTTCTTTGTCCTGTCTTCGAAGAGTTATTATCTAGGTTATGGTAACGTCTTCTAACTAGGACGCAGCTGTTTCGCGTGAGAGTCATCGACCTTGGAGAGCTGATTCATTTCTTTTACTAATATCTAAAGATTATTTTTTGTTAAATCTATAAGAACTAACACAAAACCCCTTAAGGAGAGAGAGCATAATTTATAATTTTTTTCATGAATATAGGATGGAAAATATTGTGGTGGCTGATGAAAGAAGTGCGATTGCTGGATATAGAGCTATGATTAGAGTGGTGTGATTTAGGGACCACGTTGGGTATAGTAGAGAAAAATTTCTCTCCGTTAAGAAATATATTACCACAGTTTGCTTCTCTATACTCGCGATATTAGTAACATCGTTGATAATATAATGAAAAAAAAATTATGTAATGAAAGTAGATGTAATCTGTTTACTTCTTAATTAATATTTGAAATTAACGTTATTCTTAATTACAGTAAATTTGTCACCATAGTAATAAATATAAGTGAATCTAATTTCCAGCTGGCATTGTAACAAACATAACTAGATAATGCCACATTGTAATTTGCTCATTAGTGTGACTCTTCTACCTTAACAACAATGTAACATAACAATTCAAACTACTTTATTACAGTTTCTACTTAATTTATTATCAAAGAAATTATTCTCATTAAATTATTTAATGATATTTAAAGTAATTTTTTTTATTCTGTTACATTCAATTTAATATGACTATAATTTAGGGGAGACCGGGGCAAGATCGGCATGTTAAGCTTTACTTAAATTTTGTGTAATAAATACTGCTGTAAACTGAAAAAAAAGCTTTGCATATTGTCTATCTGAATGTTACNTATAGTTAAATTTAATTAAGATTTGTGATTGAAAAATTAATTTTGTGATCTGAAATAATTCCATTTGACAAATTTTTATTTGTAATTTTTATTTAATTGACATCTGAAATTAATTTTGTGATCAGTATGTGTCAAACCACTACTACTGCTAACCTTAACGTCGGAAAGACTTCGAATGACTTATTTTTAAAAAATGCCAGAATAATTGCCTTTTTGTGATAATAAAGTGTTTAAATATTAGCAACAGATTGTACAAAATACGTGGAAAGTATGTTATCATAAATATTGAGTTTATAGAAAACTTATTTGGCTGCAACTTGAAAAAATTTTACACCTATAATTTCCGACTATTGTCCGCATGTCTGTCTGTGTTTCCTTAATCTCGAGAAGAATGTTAGATAAATGAAACGGAAGACAAGAGGTGAAAAACGTACAGAATAGGAGGTCCAGATTAACTATATATGAATGTCCGATGGAAACCGGAATTTACATTATTTCAATTCAAAAATTTTTCCTCGAAAGGGGTTAGATCAGTGTTTCTCAACCTCTAACGAATCGTCGCCCCCTTCAACGTAGTATCGGCCCTTTCACTTCAAAATTACGATGTCGAGGGCCAAGGATAACGCCAAATTCGTACTGCATTGAATAGACTAGTGACTAGTATAATGTTATTTGTTTAATTATTGTACGATATAACGAATAAAATATCTAATTACTCTTAATATAATGTTTTACTATATCGCCCAGAAAATTGTTTTTTGCCCCCCAAAATATAAATTGTTACTAATCGCCCTCTCAACATGGAAAAACACCCACATGGGGGCGATATCGCCCCTGTTGAGAAACACTGGTGTACACGGATGGCTCTAAGCAAGAGGGCAGTGTGGGAGCTGATAGTAGATTCTTCAAGGAGGCAGATCACTCACATGTTGTATTGCCATAATTCCATNTTTAATAATAATTGCTTATTAAAACTTTAAATTCATATTTCTTATGGCAAACCAATTAATAAGTTATGTTATTATATAGTGCATCATTGTCTACAATAACAAAAGCTTTAGTTGATTTGGTAAAACAAATCATATTTGAAAAGCATTTCTTGTATGAGTGAAATGGATATTAGATGAAATATGTCTTCTTGGTAAATTTTATTCACAAAATTATTGAAATAAAAAATAATCATCAGTGAAGGAACAAAAACATCACGTTTCCATTTTGAGAAGACTGTGAAATTACGAACATTTAATCCCCCAATCTGATCGTAAGTATAATTTCAATACTTTATCTGAATCAATTATGATAATTTATGACTTATTCAAATAAATCTATATTTTTATTTTCTAAGCAAACGTATCTAATATCTAAATAAAGTATTTAGTTTCAAATTCTATTGTTAAACACTCATTTTAAGGTTAATTTGATGTCAGATTCTACTGANGGTTTTTTCTGTAAAGAACACAGATACCCAATGACTCCCAGGCTTATTTTTTTCATCTAAATTAATTATAAATGATTTACAATTAGCAATGCAAATGGGTAAGTCATCAGATGCAAAAACACCTCCAAAAGTCCTTTTTATTTTCGAATCACCAGAAGTCAGTCTCCATAAAGTAATGTTATTCATTAATAGTCCACAAACACAGTTCTTGAGTGATCAATTTCTAGAGAGAACATTATATTCCAGCAAACAAATAACGTTCACAGTTTCTAATATTGCAGTTGAAAATTTTAATTCGACTGAAATGTTTCCTTGTTGATTAACACTAATATGTGATTCTGATGCAGAATGATCAGGAGTAAGGTCAAAACAATATAAAGTATATCCATCTTTANTGATTTATGTACTAATATAATACCTGAATATAATCATATGTATAATGACACATGCCTTTACCAAATAAATGAGTAAATTTTTATGAATTTTTACTTACATGGTTTATGGACCTAAAAAATTGTCGGGGTGGACAAACGCCCCACTGCACTAATGCCGAAAAAAAACTCAGTGCACTAACGCAGGGTTAAAAAGGATAGTGTTAGGAACAACTGGATTACAATTAGAAGTAAATATCAATAGTTTTAAATGTTATTAAAAAACAAAAACAATAATGTAATGAAAATCGTATTGTATTTTCTATTTATTTTACACCTTTTTTGATTGTTCTTTAGTTTAGTGTAATTAAAATAAAGGATAATTAACTGAAATTCTGTCTTTGATTGCGAATACGGTGGTGAAGTAACCAATTGTCATTCATTTTACTTGAGTAAAGACAAAATAATTGCAAAATTAATAGAAAATGCATTGTGACGATTTTTGGTAAAAGTTCTACGATAGTAATGTTACTTTGACCAAACGATTTTCGTTAAAAACCATTAGGAAATAGGTGTTAAAAAATAAAATACAATATTTTGTTTGTAAAATTGATATGAATCTACTTCACTGAATACGCAGAAAGTGTCANTTAAACACTCATTTTAAGGTTAATTTGATGCGAGATTCTACTAAGAGGTTATTTTATTGATCATATATTATGGATTTTTATATTCCTTAAAAAGTATAAATAACAGCGTAAATACACAAGGACATAGATACACTTAGTTACAATATTATTTCTAATTTGAGACGCAGTTTAAAAAGGATAGTGTTAGAAACAATCGGATGATAATTAGAAGTAAATATCAATAGTTTTAAATGTTATTAAAAAACAAAAACAATAATGTAATGAAAATCGTATTGTATTTTCTATTTATTTTACATCTTTTAATTGTTCTTTTAGTGTAATTAAAATAAAGAGAAATTAACGGAAGTTCTGTCTTTGGTTGCGAATACGATGTGAAGTAACCAATTGCCATTCATTTTACTTGTGTAAAGACAAAAATAATTGCAAAATTAATAGAAAATGCTACAAAACCTTTATAAGATGTTAATCGTTGAAAAGCAAAAAAAATTTTGAATTACGAAATTAATTCAGTTTAAAGATTTACCCCAGAAACTGAAAGAAAGTTCGTCTTAAATTCGAAGTAATAATTAAATACTATAATACGCTTATTATCTAGCTTGGTACATACAGTAGAGTTCGATTATCCGAAAGTCAATCATCCGAAAGAATTCCAGTCGGCAAATTTAAATTTTTGCTAGTTCTGTGGCGCTGCAATCATTGGCTATATCTTAGGCTACTCAAATATTTTACGTTTTTGATACTAAATTAACTTCTGAAGTATAATTTTTCTATTGTTTTTATATTTTTCGATATATTTATTTTGTTCGTACAAAATAAAAAAAATTTTTAACGATACAATAGTCTTCGTTAGGCTTAACATCGACGAAAATTCAACGCGAAGTGACACGCAACGGAGAAAAATTTTAAGTTCGGATACGTTAAACTATTTTTTCGCACACAATCGCTTATCCGAAACGCCAGTTATCCGAACAACTCTAGTCCCCAATTGATTCAGATAATCGACGCTCTACAGTACTGTACTTATATTTCTAAGAGTAAAGTAAAATTAATAGAAAAAATAAAAGAAAAAATACCAAAAAGCTTTTATATATCATAAAAGCTTTTTGGTATTTTCGAAGAGCGATAATGAATATCCAAACTAAAAAAATTACCTTTCAATTTAAGACATATTCTAAATTTAAATTAAGGGACATCAGACAAAGTGCATCTGAAATATGAAATAAATACCGTAAATAAGACGATTATACAACTTAAATACAGAAATTATTGAGTCATTTTATTTTAGTAAATTTATATTCATTTTAAAAGAATTAATTAATATCTATTTAAATCAATTAATCAATTACGTATTCTAAAAATTACTTTTTTTCTTTTGTTTATTTAAATTACTTAATGTTTTTAGTACGGGAAGATGAACAAAAGTTACGTTTGGAAGATAGCGGGAATCAATGTAATATTCTCTTTACTAAATACATTTATTTTACTATTGTTATTTTACTTAAAAATTAAATTTATTTTAGCATCCCAACCTTCTTCAGATAGACAAAAATAGCAAACAAATATTAGGAGGATTATTTTACAACACCTTTAAAATAATTCACGATAAATTGAATTTCAGGTATGAATTTTATTTCGATTATTAATGGGTTTTTTGTTTTGTAAGTTGTTTTGTTTAAATTATTTCGTAGCTATCGGGTTGTGGAACCGTTACCAGAGTTCTTTGGGAAACAAGACGAGAATGGAAACTGGTTCGGTACAGTCGGACAAGTAATTAATCAGGTAATCTAACACGAAAAATAAACTTATATTTTCCTCATTGACAAACTATTTCATTGATACGAAACTTTTTAGTAAAAACATAACTCATACAGAAAGATAAAGTGAGTTAGCATTAAGTTATATAATTAAAATCTACATCAACGACAAGTTATAACTATTCTCAGAATTTCTAATTTTATAAATTTAAGATGTCATATAATGAAATGTAATCTTTTGTTTACAAGGAAGCGGATTTGGCCTTTACTCCTCTTTTGATGACGTACGAACGAGCTTTAGGTCTTGACTATTCTTCTCATGTCATATTCGAAACAGGCCAATTTATCATAAAAATGGGTGGTCAGGAATCAAACTGGGATTCAATTACAAAACCATTTACTCCTCTGGTAAAAATTCAGTAAACTTTTTTTATATTTCATTACTTTACATTAAAATAAATTGTTTTTAGTATAAAAACTGTTTATAATTTTACTTCATAAGTAAAATAAACGGAAATTTTTACGTTTGTATTAATGCTACATTTATTATTTAATTTCAACTAAATATAATTCTTCTATATTTTCTAGCTCTGGTTGTCGATATTTTTCGCAGTCAAAATATTTGGAATTGCTTTATATGGAATTATGAAATTTGAAAAGAACGTGTACCGAATAAAGAAATTGGAACCACTGTCGAAAGTCTTCTGGTTTCTCTTCGGTACTTTAGTTTTTAATGGTGAGTTGGTATTTGTTTTAGTGTTAACATAAACTTTCTAATCGTAAAAACAATAATGATAAAATTTTCAGTACCAAGTATAAATCGCTACAGCAATAAAATTCCTGGCAGACTCTCCATAGGAATATGGTTATTCGCTTCTGTAATTTTAGTTTCATGTTACAGCGGAAAATTAATGGTATCTTTAATGGCTCAAAAGGCTGCTTACGTCCCTACCACATTCGACGAATTAGCACGTGATGTAAAAAGTGGCGAATTTTCGTGTGGAGCTCCAAACGGCGAAGCTATTACTTCTTTTATTTTGGTAAAAATATTGAATTTTGTAATTATATTACTTATAATTTTTCTTAAGATTACAATTCTAAAATTTTATTCGTTATAACTATTCAAAGTAAAGCATCTAAATAATTTCTTTGAATTGACTATTTAAGGAATCAACATTTGGGAATGCAAAGATATTCAAGGAACATATAATTTCCACCAATAATATATTCTATATAGAAGAGATTTATGAAAAAGTCATGAAAGGCCGCTTTGCATTCATACAAACTGATCTTTTCATAGGATTAATAAGGAAAGAAAATGATTTCAGTGAAGTTTTAATTTCAAAAGATACACTTGTTACCTACACAACAGCATACGGAGTAAGAAAAGGATTTCCATACAAGAAATATCTGGATGAAATGTAAGATTTCATTTACTTTTATAGTTTAATTTTAGCAAAAGTAGTCGAATTTGTTAGTTATTGATATATTAACGAATATGTCGAGACAAAAATAAAAAATTAAACTTTAAATAAATTATTAGTTATAAGATACAGTTATATTTAATACTTAATAAAAAATTGTTTTTAAAAATTCTAAGATACCACAATTGAATTATGAATATTAATCAGTAATTTTAGGTTAATTAATCAACTGAGACTATTCATAAACTATTCATAGAATAAATTCTTTATTTGAATGGTAGTTAATAATAAACTGTTAGTCTAAGTACAATTTAAATAGAAAAATGCAACATGTGCGTGAACGTAAATACAACATAGATTCTTCCTTGTTACCTTCCTCATCTTTACTTCCATAATCACTGTCTTCACGATTCTTTCCAACGCTGCGACATATACACAAGTTTGGGTTATCTGTGCAAGCACGGACGAATCATCAGAGATATATGTTCAAACTTAAACTCCGCATACACCTCAAAGGTACCAGTGAATCGGGCAGCGAAATTATGTTCTCGTAGATCCTTGAAATAAGCCTTTGACACTTTTAGAATATTGCAGGAGAATTTGTTTTGACTGTATCGTTCTTTTTCACGTTGCTGTTTAATCTGTGATTGTTTTAATCTTAGCACAAGATTATTTTCAAGTCCATTCAACTGACCTTCTCTTGCTATATCCTCAAACACGGAAATTTCCAGAAAAATAAGATTGTTTGATTCCCAACTACTTGAATAATTGCTTTAAGCTTGATACATAAAATTATTTCATATATCAATTCTCACGATACTTGGCCTTACACAAACACGAAAAATGTGAGATATCAACTCGGTATAGTTATATAAATAACCGGCTGTTATCCGCGACTTCGCCCGCGGTGGTTTTTCAAGCAAACCCCATTTATATCCAGTATTTCAAGAGCGCTATAATGTCAGAACGACAAGAGTTAAGACGCCTTGTGCTGTAATCACTAACTCATTGGGAATGATAAACTTCTATTTTGCTTATGACTCATTAATCGACGTCATAGCTTATTGAGACATGCATTTTACATCCTTATTAGCGATCTCAGTCTTAATCAATGTTACGGTTAAGATATTTTATCATTAACTCTTGTTTCGATTTTTCAAAAGTAAATCGACCTCTCACAGCTTAGGATAGGATGACAAATAATATGTACTGCAATCTCTTCAGAAAAAAACCTTTATTGAAATTATTTATACAGATCGCAAGGCAGTTGCCAACTTTACAGACTGCACAGAGAGAGAGAGAGAGAGAGAGAGAGGAAAAAACTACTATAAAATACGGGGATTTTCATTTTAAAAAACGGGACGAGATCTCGCTCTCTTTTCGCGAGCACTATCGTTGAGGAGTTGTTAAACACGGAGTTCTAACATTTCAATTAGCTTTTGTATATTTATTTTAATTAAATATACAAAGTATATTCGTTTAATTTATTTAAATATCATTATTCGAAGTCTAAAGCTTTGGCACGCATAAATGACTTTAAAGCTAACTATGTTTACTACATGGCCATGCAGGTTCGAAAAGGTTGACTACCCCTGGCTTAGAAAATTGATTAAGTCTCTAAAGAGAACTATCGTTTTGCAGAATAAGAATTTTATTTGATAAATGTTGTAGCAGTTGAGAAGTTTGAACGTTTATTATCTAAGTTTTCCCCACATTACAAAATATATAAATGATTTAATTCAGCAAAACGTAATCCAATTTACACCGCTTTTTGTGGAGAATATTGGTGAGATTCAAGCTCTGAATGAGACGTTTGGGACCTTATCAGTGCTGTAGTAGAGCATACCTATAGTAGCAAAAAAGTCAACTTCTACAAGCGACCCTTCGCGAAATACAGCCCCCTAAAATCGGGTCGCGCAAGATCGCGAGTGGCGTCGCTCCGCTAAGAATAATGGCGTTTAACTACTGTATTTAGCCCACGCGTCTGTGCCGGCTTCGAGTAGCCCACTTGATTGTTCGTGGAGTACTTGATGTTATATAGTTTTAGGGGAGTGTGGGGACTGGCACCCACCAGGCCGCTAAGGTGCGACCGATGGCGAGCATTGTGCGCATGCCTACATGCGAAACATGGAGGATAGTGAATAGACTGATACGTGTTAAAAACTGATCTTCAGAGAGGAATAACACGCGAAGGGTCAACAATTGTGGGGTGGTGTGATTTATGTAAAAAAATACGAAATAAAACATCTATTTCGCTAAAAAAAAAAGTAGTGAGAACGGCGGTCGCTCAGATATGTCCCATATGTCCGATATGTCCGATATGCCCCAATGGCTCCGAGGTGTCGCCATTGGGGCTAAAGAGGTGAACTTTTACCAAACTGATCTTTGGAGACGAATATCTTGCAAAAGGTTGTTTGTAGAGGTATGGTTCCTTTTACTATTTTGCTTCTATAGGTAAGCTCTACTACAGCTCTGATGAGGGCCCAAACGTCTCATTCAGAGCTTGAATTGAGCCAGAAAGTTTATTTCGGTTTGACAACTTTTAGGAACGAATTCAGTTTGACTATTTCAGTTTGTTAACCGAGGTTTGACTGTATCAGGTTTGAACATTATACGAGTTCCACAAAATTATAAAACATTTTATCAGGCCAACCATTTGTTCAAGATCGATCATTTCTCTATTTTCAGATAGCCTTTCTTTATATGACAAGGCTGATCAGCCGTCTTTTCTCGATAGGCTTTACCTAAAATAATTTCGTTCAATTAACCGAAGGACGTTGCGATCATTAAAAGTTTTATACATTAAGAATCGATAATCCACATCATTTATCAAAATGTTAACATTCGATAACTCTTAGGGACAGTCCATAAATTACGTAAGGGCGATTTCGGCCATTCTAGACCCCATCCACCTCCTGCGTAAGAAACCGTAATATTTTCTTTGATCCCCCTCTCCTTCCCTATCTTACGTAATATTTTGGCATGATTTTATAGAAAGATTTTAACAAAAAAAATTTTTTTTATCAAACCCTAAAAACCTTAGGCCCAAAATATATAATTATTAATTAGTTAATTTCAACTAATTTAAAAATATAAAAATGTAATGAATTCGAATGAACTATTTATTTTAAGAACTTTATTTTTTAATTATTAACAACTTTATTATTATTATCATCATTAATCAACGTCATTATAATTATTTTTATATTAATTTTAATGTTCGCAAAAGACGCAAAAAACTTTGTCAGATCGACTAGCTTGAGCATGTGTAAAAGAAACATCATACAAGATAAAACAAGAGAGAATAGAAAGAAACTATATTCCGTTGCCATATTGATTACATCTTGGCTAAGGCCAAGAAAATAAACTACATGCTGCTAAAATGTGTTAGGTGCACTTGGGGACTAAATAATAAAGCTTATAAAACTCTATATAATGGGGCAATACAACCAATGCTACTTTACGCGGCCTCTGGCTGTGATCATGTAACTAATAAAAGTTCAGTAGCAAGTAAATTACTCTCTCTTCAAAGCCAGTTTGACATCAGAATTTCAAAGTGCGGCAGAACAGTTTTTACTAATGCCTCTCTGATACTAGCGGAGCTTATTCCTTTGCCACTATGTATCGTAGAAAAGGTTCTAAACTACTACATCAGAACTACAAACGTCAAGGCTCAACAACAATCTCTACTCCTATCTACGGCTGTTCATACGCTACCACATTGCAATTACCCTACTATCTCTGAT